GAAGTCATGTGTAACTTGCAGTTGCTTTGGGTAATCAGGACTTGTGGGAATGCTATTGCAGCCAGCGGGAGAGTGGTACCAAGCATGAGAGATGGTGTCCTCTGGTTAGTGAGGGAGTTAGTGTTCTTACTCCTTCCATAGTGGTCAGTGTCCCTAGAACCACATTCATGACACAGAGAACCTATGGACCTAGCTGGAATTATTAGAGAGAGCTAAAGAGTTCTGCAAGTAGAGGATGTTCTGCAAGTAGTGGTCCATGCTCAGTGCATGGCGGGACCTCCACATTGTCACTGGGAGTGAGGTGGCAGTTAAAGCTGAGCTGGTGGAGTGGGACACAGGATCTACTGTGTCCCCCTCAAAATGCTACATTCAGGAAGACAAGGTGTACAGTGTCATGGGAAGAGTGTCTCACAGTAACAGAGCCTCGAATCTAAAGTGTATCTGTGCAAGGTGGATGGCTCGCTTCTAAGTATGGAGTGCCATCTTAATGCTGATTCTTGCATGACCATGGCCTGGTTCAAGGGCACTAGCGAGCATATTCATTAAGGCTCCCCATCTGCAGGGTGAGTAGGCCCTGCCCACAGGCTGGTCCTCAACAATATAAATAGACCTGTTATTTGGAAATAGCTGATCCAGCAGTTCTCCAGGTCTGCATCTTTTCTCCTGAGGCTTCTGCTGTCAGCAGAAACTTAAATAAAAGTGAATGAAGGCTCTGCTGCTGTTGGTATCCCCAATGCAGAGCTGCTGTGAGTCATCTGAAATAACATGCAGTACCTGCTTCGGGTCACGTGCCCCAGTACCAAAGTACTGAGGAACAAATCACTGGCAATTTGTTTGATAAGTACAAAACATATCTGTTGATCCTTCCAAAAACCAGTTTTATCCTATGTTCTTTATGCTGTGCAGTGCTATCAGCCCTTACCCATGTTACCTTTGGGAACTATGAAAACACCTACCCACTGCTACGGAGAGGAGGGCAGATGTTCTGCAGTCCCAACATAAACATACTTTTTAGCAGACATAATTTTGGACAGCCAGGGTGACAATGCTGCTTCTGCATGAAGGTGAGGGTGACAATGCTTCTTCTGCACAGAAGTGAGGGTAGCAATGCTGCTTCTGCATAAAGGTGAGGGTGACAATGCTGTTTCTGCACAGCAGTGAGGATAACAATGCTGCTTCTGCACAGAAATGAAGATGACTATTCTGTTTCTGCACAGAAGTGAGGATGACAATGCTGATTCTGCACAGAGGTAAGGGTGACAATGCTACTTCTGCACAGCGGTGAGGGTGACAATGCTACTTCTGAATAGAAGTGAGGATGACATTGCTGCATCTGCGCATAAGTGAGGGTAACAATGCTGATTCTGCACAGAGGTGAGGGTGACAATGCTACTTCTGAATAGAAGTGAGGGTGACATTGCTGCATCTGCACATAAGTGAGGGTAACAATGCTGATTCTGCACAGAAGTGAGGGTGACAATGCTGATTCTGCAAAGAGGTAAGGGTGGCAATGCTGCTTCTGCATAGAAGCGAGGGTGACAATGCTGATTCTGCAAAGAGCTAAGGGTGACAATGCTGCTTCTGCACAGAAGTGAGGGTGACAATGCTGATTCTGCAAAGAGGTAAGGGTGACAATGCTGCTTCTGCATAGAAGTGAGGGTGACAATGCTGATTCTGCAAAGAGGTAAGGGTGACAATGCTACTTCTGAATAGAAGTGAGGGTGATAATGCTGCTTCTGCAAAGAGGTAAGGGTGGCAATGCTGCTTCTGCATAGAAGTGAGGGTGACAATGCTGATTCTGCAAAGAGGTAAGGGTGACAATGCTGCTTCTGCACAGAAGTGAGGGTGACAATGCTGATTCTGCAAAGAGGTAAGGTTGACAATGCTGCTTCTGCATAGAAGCGAGGGTGACAATGCTGATTCTGCAAAGAGGTGAGGGTGACAATGCTACTTCTGAATAGAAGTAAGGGTGACATTGCTGCATCTGCGCATAAGTGAGGGTAACAATGCTGATTCTGCACAGAAGTGAGGGTGACAATGCTAATTCTGCAAAGAGGTAAGGGTGACAATGCTGCTTCTGCATAGAAGTGAGGGTGACAATGCTGATTCTGCAAAGAGGTAAGGGTGACAATGCTGCTTCTGCACAGAAGTGAGGGTGGCAATGCTGCTTCTGCACAGAAGTGAGGGTGACAATGCTGCTTCTGCATAGAAGTGAGGGTGACAATGCTGCTTCAGCAGAGAAATTAAGAAGAAAAATCTGCTCTGCACAGAAGTGAGGGTGACAATGCTGATTCTGCACAAAGGTGAGGGAGGCAATACTGCTTCTGCACAAAGGTGAGGGTGACAATGCTGTTTCTGTACAAATGTAGGGTTACAATGCTGATTCTGCATGGAAGTTAGGGTGCAACTGCTGCTTCTGCACACAAGCGAGGGTGACAATGCTGATCTGGCACAGAAGTTAGGGTGAAAATGCTGATTCTGCACAGAAGTTAGGGTGACAATGCTGCTTCTGCTCAGAAGTTAGGGTGACAATGCTGCTTCGTCACAGAAGTTAGGGTGACAATGCTGCTTCTGCTCAGAAGTTAGGGTGACAATGCTGCTTCGTCACAGAAGTTAGGGTGACAATGCTGCTTCTGCTCAGAAGTTAGGGTGACAATGCTGCTTCGTCACAGAAGTTAGGGTGACAATGCTGATTCTGCACAGAAGTGAGGGTGACAATGCTGCTTCTGCACAGAAGTTAAGGTGACAATGCTGCTTCTGCTCAGAAGTTAGGGTGACAATGCTGCTTCGTCACAGAAGTTAGGGTGACAATGCTGCTTCTGCTCAGAAGTTAGGGTGACAATGCTGCTTCGTCACAGAAGTTAGGGTGACAATGCTGATTCTGCACAGAAGTGAGGGTGACAATGCTGCTTCTGCACAGAAGTTAGGGTGACAATGCTGCTTCTGCACAGAAGTGAGCACTGTCACCCTAAAACAGGAGGTGTGTTACTGGTAGTTGTGCCAAGTAAAAATAAAGGTAAAGGGTCTTGACAAAAGAAAATGAATGCAGCCACCACATCTAAAGTCTGCTAATCTACACTATACAACATTTTTGTTCTTGGGTTTAAATATACTTTAGGGACTTTTTGATAAACCATAAATAACAAATTGTTTTATGGTATGGTGGACCTGCTATTGCAAAAATGTGTATGATTAGACATAATAACAGATTATACTGTAAAGCCTGCAAATGAGAGAAGCAGAACACGTTTCTTCAGAATATACTGTATATACATTGTATTAGAAAAAGTTGTAGGGGGTAGAGCGTATTTTTGAATCTTCTGGTTTTATATTGGACTTCCAATGCAGAATATTTGAATTTGCACAGCTTAGTTATCTCTTCAAGTTATGTAATGCTATCGTTTTTAATTTAAAATACTGCATATTCTTTCCATAATAAAACAGCTGCACTGATTGAGCAGGACTAACAGTTACAAATACATTTTTTGTATTTTTCCTGTACCTCTGTGAAATTATTCTTATGCAATTACTCTTGCAGGAAGTATTTATCATGCTTCTCTAGTCGCCCACATAGCCATCACAATGAGATTATGGTCATGAAACGCTCCATTGCAATTAAGCACTTAGTGGGAGAATTTCAAATTGATTTTAACATCTTAGTGGATGTTTAAAGCTCACCACATGTTACAATTTGATTGTGCAATCTCTTTTAGATCTACCGACAACAATGAAGTGTAGAACTCTTCCTGATGGGATACAAATGGATTGGATGCGTTCAGTAGCTCCTTATATTACATAGTTTTGTTAAATCTAAAGTTGATTGTATGGTCAGATTGTAACATGTACGATGACCTCGAAATCAAAGAAAACAGGCCACACATCAATGACATCTTGGAAATTCAGTTACCTTTTTTTGAACCGGCTAAACAGCATGCAATGGGGTGGATATACTAAAGGCAAATATATATTGTGCGCTTTGTAATGGTCTAGGGTTGTCAGTGGTGTACCCCAAGATTCAGTAATGGGACCCTTACTTTTTAATATATTTATAAACAATATAGGGTCTGGAATTAAAAATCCCATTTCAGTCTTTGCAGATGACACCAAGCTGTGCAGTGGAATAATGTCCTTACAGGATGTCTCCAACTTACAAGCCGAACTCAATGCACTGTTTAATTGGGCAACTATATGGCAAATGAGGTTTAATGCTGATAAATGTAAAGTTATGCACTTGGGGGCTAAGAATATGCATGCATCATACATACTGGGGGGGGGGGGGTGCAATTGGGGGAATCAACGGTGGAAAAGGATCTGGGGGTTCTGGTAGATCACAAGCTTAATAATGGCAAGCTGCGATTTCTAAAGTGAGCAAAATCCTCTCTTGTATTAAAAGAGGTATAGACTCCAGAGAGACAGATATCATTTTACCCTGTACAGATCATTAGTAAAACCTCATCTGGAATATGCAGTCAGTTTTGGGCACCAATTCACAAAAAGAACATTGGGAACTGGAGAAAGTACGGAGAAGGGCAACCAAACTGATAAAAGGCATGGAGGAGCTCAGCTATGAGGAAAGATTAGAGGAACTGAATTTATCCTCTCTTGAGAAGAGGAGATTAAGGGGGGGATATAATCAACCTGTATAAATACATCAGTGGTTCATATATGTGAACTCGGTGTAGAGTTATTCACCCTGAGGTCATCACAGAGGACAAGAGGGGGTCACAACTCTTTACGTCTGGAGGAAAAGAGATTTAATCTCCAAATACGGAAAGGTTTCTTCACAGTAAGAACTGTGACAATGTGTGGAATTAGACATCCCTTAAAGAGTTTGGTTAAATCTGGCCAGCCTAGTGGATTGCTTTAACCCGCTTCCCGTCCACCCTATAGCAGTAATACTGCTACAGGGCAGCACGATGATGCACAAAATCACATATATATATATATATATATTATATATATATATATATATATATATATGTATATATTTTCCCCGCCATTTTTGCATTTCCGGGTAGGGGGGGCACGCACAAGCACACGTGCCCTACCCACGCCACTATTCACTCAGCCTCGGCTGTTTAATCACCATGTCCCGGCCGGTGATTACTCGCTGGCACCCGGTGATTGAGGAGCATTACCGATGGAGGAAGAGAACTGTAAGTAAATAATACAGATCTCTCCCCTGTCAGCTCCTGCACACTGCTATGCATGGCTGTGCATAGCAGTGTGCTTACAGTGTAAAGCACACACAGCCCCCTAGTAAAACACATACAGCACACAGTTAACCCTATGATCGCCCCACATGTTAACCCCTTTCTGCCCAGTGCCATTAGTACAGTGCAGTGCTTTTTATTAGCACTTATCACTGTATGGGTGTCATTGGGGATGTCAGTGACACCAAGTCAGTTCCCCCCCGTGCCAGAATGCCTGCCGCAGTCGCGCAGATCCTGCTATAAGTCACTGATCGCAACCATTACTAGCAAAAATTAAAAAAAAATCCCAGTATATACTGCCATTTGTAGATGCTATAACTTTCATGTAAACCAATTAATTTACACGTATTTGGATTTTCTTTTAGCAAAGACATGTAGCAGAATACATGGCCTAAATTTATGACAAAATTGGAAGGAATTCTTTCCCTGCACAAGCAAATTGGATCATGCTTTGCTGTTTTTTTTTTTGCCTTCCTCTGGATCAACTGTGGGTGTAGAATTATAACTTTTTTTTTATGGTTCAATTAGATGGACTTTTGTCTTTTTTCAGCCAGACAAACTATGTAACTATGTAACTTAGGCTGACCATATACTATATACAATTTTCTTACAGTTTTCTGTCCAATCTCTGCCCAATTTCCTTTACATTTACCTTCAACTATGTAGTGCAAGGGCCTGCCTAATTAGATACAATTGAAAGTGTTGATCATGTTTAACCTCATATTATATGGTTTTTGGTAAATCTAAAGCAAGAAAATTGTATAATGTATGGCCAGACTAAGTGCAGTTGCACGCCATTTCACCAGAGATTACCAAATGTGGTAAAGCACAGCTGATTTCATTCATCCAATCACGTGAAAACAAAAATTAAATGTTTAATTTTCCTTGCACCTGACTGGGAATTCTTTGCAAAGGGAAGCTTTAGAGTATTTTTTAAAGAAAATGAGTGCAACTGCATTTCCAAAGTGCACAGTCTATTTTTCTTTAGTAAATCCACCCCACTGTGGACCTTCTACATGAGGCCACCAATCAAGAGCATTTCACCCATGATCTGGATTACCAAGACATGATTGGATTGTGGCCCATTTTCTTTGATTTGGAGAGTGGTGTGAAGTGTGAACTTCAGCACCCGGCTGGTTCACAGGATTGAGGAGGACACAGGGAGCTTTAGAACAATAAGGTATGTAGAGATTGTCTAATGCAGGGGTGGGCAACTATGTCCCTCCAGCTGTTGTAGAACTACAAGTCCCATGAGGCATTGCAAAACTGTCAGTTACAAGCATGACTCCCAAAGGCAGAGGCATGATGGGACTTGTAGTTCACCAACAGCTGGAGGGCCACAGTTGCCCACCACTGGTCTAATGTATGGTGACTATACTCAAATATATGAAAACAAATGTTCCATACCAAAGGTTGTACACAGTTCTGATACATTATAACAACGTTTTGCTTTTTTATTTTAGCTTTTGTGTGTAGTATCTAAATAGTAAAATTCATTTGACATGGCTTTTGGTGAGACAACTGCCACTCTTAGCTGTGTCTCCGGGGGTGACCTCTGTGTAGCAAATATAGCACTGAATGGGTCATCGTCATGCTATGAGGGCACTGGTGTAGCAGTGCATACATGCGTCCTGCCCTGTTCTACAGAATAAATAAAAGTGGATGCTGTAACAGATAACGTCTCAATCTCAAAATGCTAATTGACTGGCTGGCAGAAATTGTATATTTCCTCCAAATGGTGCTAGTTCACATCTGTACAACTCCTTAGTGTGGGTTGTCCATTTTTTGATGATGCATCAGTATGTGTTATTGGGTCTATCAATGACAATGGCTGCACATGAAAATGTTGCTAATAATGCATGTAACAATGCAAGGAAAGGTGTGAATTCAGCCCAAATGTAAGGATTGGGACACATTCAACAAGCTAAAAAAAATCTCTGTGCATGATAAAGAATGCTTCCACTGACTTAGACCATACACTACCCAACACTGATGAGGCCATACACTACCTATTAGGCCACATTTGCATTAGGTAATCTAAACAGAAGAAAAGTTATCTGGAGGTAAAAGCAGACTTGATGCTTCCCAGATCACGTTTTCTTGTATTTACATGTACCTACATTTAGGCAGATTTTGCTGCATTTCAGCGCATTTACAAGTAGTTTTCATAGCTTTTAACCGTCCACTCAGATTTTTTCTTTTTCTAAACAAAACTAAACACACCTATATGCAAGTCAATGCACAGTTTGAATGATACCACTACAATCATTAATTGCATAATTTCACTGTCCTTAAATGCATATATGGAAATGCAGGTTTGTTAATGCCAATGTAAATGAGGCTTTAACCAATGTTACAAGTGATACCTGATTATGGAGGGGATTATACCATTTAAGGCTTTGTACATGAATACATTGTATTCATATAAAAAGTTAGAGATAATTAAGAGAATATATTCACGGGAATTTATCAAAAACTGGAGCAATGAGAATCTAAAGCAGCAGTACTTGGCAACCAATCAGCTTCTATCTTCAGCTTGTTCAGTTAGGCTTTGAAAATGAAAAAGAGAAGCTGATTGGTCACTATGCACATTTGCTCCAGATTCTGGCTGGTCCAATTTTGATAAATACCCCTCATTGTGTATATAAATGCTACCAATTCTCAAACCTTTAAAATTAATCTATAATCTTTATAATTAAGTGTTGTTGCATGGCAAGACCACTTACTGTTATCTCACATATATATTCTTATTATTATAGCCAAATTTACCACCCTAACTCCTCCCACAGTTTTTACACTACATAGACAGTAATATATTGAAACGTGCGGATTGTTCCCGATTGGTGTGCTATTACTTTGTGGAACGTTTCGCCAAATGGTTCACGAAATATCGGCGTTTTTGTGGTGAAATTGGTCCCATAGGAATGAATGGCGGAATGTTCAAAACTAGAGTGGGAGCTGCCCACTGCAGTTGTAGACTACTGGTGGAGGCAAGAACACTTCACACAATTTCCCCAGAAATTGTAGCTTTTCTAGTTATATTATATTATAATATAATTATATTGTATATATTTGTTTGTTGTTGTGACCAATATAAAGAAAAACTGTAGGGAAAAAAAACAAAAACACAGATAGCTGGCGACATAAGCTGTTAGCACATACCTCTCTGCCATCAATACTTTGTTATGGTTGAACTGGATGGACTTTTGTCTTTATTCAGCCAGACTAACTATGTAATCTAGTTGCCATTCTGTCTCTGCCATCAATACCTCTTGGTGGAAATTACATTCCTCCAATGGACACTGGACCTTCACCTCCTTAAAGCAGATCTCCACCCAAAAGGGGAATTTCCCTTTAAGGACTGCTCCCCTGTTCCCCATTAAGGATTGGCACCTTTGGGGAGCGGGTACCCGAATTTGACAGGTACCCGCTCCCACTTCCGGTACTGATCGCCTGTAGTCTTTTGGGACACGTGACAGGTCCCAGAAGACTACAGGACCATTCACATGAAGCGCAGCGCTACTCGCGCATGCACAGTGGGTACCTGGCTGTGAAGCCGCAAGCTGTCACAGCTGGATGCCCACACTGAAGATGCCGGCCTCCTAGAATACAGGGCGGCCGGTTAAAACGAGCTGCGGGGAACACACCACGGGACTGAGAGACAGATAAGTGGCTGTTATTCAAAAGTCAGCAGCTACAGTTTTTGTAGCTGCTGACTTTTATTTTTTAACAGGTCGAGTGGAACTCCGGTATAAAGTGAATATAGACATCCCACTGTACAATTTCCAAACACCACATGGGGGCATGCTTGAGAAAGCTATTGCTTGCATAACCACTTTGGGTTGTGGGCACCTCTGGAGGGGTATAGGGCATTGGCTGCCTTTTTTTCACAGTAAAGTAAAGGAACATATTGACCATATCAATACAGGGCACTTTCTCCCCCTTCCTGCCCAGGCCAATTTTCAGCTTTCAGGGCTATCGCACTTTGAAAGAAAATTGTGCGGTCATGCAACACTGTACCTATATTATTATTTTTTTTCTCAAATAGAGCTTTCTTTTTGTGGTATTTAACCTCTTGACACCGGCGCCTCCCAACCCTTGAAGGGTTTCAGAAGCCGGGAAGCAGGGTGTGGCTTTTAAGGTCATGTGACCGCTGGGATTCACCATCACAGTGGTCACATGATCGAGAAAGGTCCCGATCGAAAGAGGAGATCGGGTCCTTTCCGTGAGTACCGGACATGTGTGCTGGGAGCACGCAGGGTGCGCGTTCTCAGCACATGTTTTTCTTAATTGTATGCAAATGTGCTGCCGCTTGGCGTCAAGGCCCAGATGCCGGGAGACCGCACATTTGTGTGTGGCCGGCGCGAAGAGGTTAATCACCATTGAGTTTTTTATTTTTTGCTAAATAAACAAAAACAGACTGAAGAATTTGAAAAAAAAAACCCACGTTTTTCTTTGTTATAAAATTTGCAAATAAATAACCTTTCTTCATAAATTTAAGTCAAACTGTATTTGGCTATATTTCTTTGATGAAAATAAGCCAAATTAGTGTATATTATTCAGTCTGTAGGAAAGGTATAGAGTTCACAAACTATGGTATATATATCTGAAAATTGATCAATCCTGATGTCTCATTTCTTGAGGCCTGAAAACGGCAGCACAGTACAAATACAGTATGCCCCAAATTACCCCGTTTTGTACAGTAGACAGTCCAAGGTATTAAGTAAGAGGTATGGTGAGTTTTCTGAAGTTGTAATTTTTGTGTCACAATTTTTTGGAAAATAAAGAAATTTAAAAAAATATTTTTTGTCACGATTTCTTTTATTGTAACATATTATCACTAGTGCAGTACACTGTCATCATATAACTGGTGTGATGGCGATCAGGGACACTGACTAGTGCCAAAAAAAAACAAACAATTTTTTTTTTAAATACTGTATATTATTTCTTTTTTTACGATTTTTAATACAGTGCAATATTTTTAATGTGTCCAGAGCAATATAATGTTACCATAGTAACATTGTTCTATTCTGGGAAAGTGATCAGGATTTTTTTTTTTTTTTACATATCATGGATTGCTTATAGAAGTGAATTTCACTGGTATAAGCAAACATTTTTATTGAATGAAATTTTGTGGTTATGACTTATCACATGGTACAGATGGGCTGTGATTGGCCCTGTCTGTAACACAATCATGGTGACCAATAACAGAGATCAACACAACAGTAC